TGTCTAGTACTAGAACTGGGCAGACGAGGGCATGTGTAGGGGAAGGAGCAACGTAAGAGAAGGACAAACATAGTCGTTGAGTTTCATAGTTGTAAGGTGACAAGATCCCCAGAGAGGGATAGAAGCGGGAGCAAAGGCAAGTTGAGTGGCAAGTTGCATGTCAGAGAGCTAATCATCAGGCTGCGTGTCACAGAGATGATCATCAGGCTACGTGATAGCAACAAGGTACTCATCGGGTGACTGCGTGTTAGATAGCTAATCATCAGGCTGCGTGCATAGAGCTGATCATCAGGCTGCATGATAGCAGCATGGTGCTCATCAAGTGACTGCATGTTAAAGAGCTGATAATCAGGAGCAATATTAAGATGTGTCTCGGCATTTTGTGAGGCACTGGTGCGGTCATGCAGTTTATGGCATGGTGAGGAAGGCTCAATGCAAAAACTGAACATGGGTATATGATGGTTGTTTGTATGGGGATTCAATTCCTTTTAGCCATGATAGGGAAACACATCCTTGTGGAAAACAACGTCTCAACTCGTAAAACTATGTTTGGAGTGAAGATCATATAATTTGTATTATTTTTGTCCAAAAGGGTGCCCAATGAAAATTCGGCAGCGTGCCATCAGGTAAAGCCACGACAGGCAATGATGTTTTAAATGTTGCTTGGGCCAATGGAAAATCTAACTCATGGTCTGTTGCACCACTGTCCAGTACCCATTCGTCAGAGTCCTACCTGCAGCAGTGATTGCATTGGCTTTGCTTTCCATGCTTAATTTCTGGCTCATCACCGATAAAATTTGCTGGACTGCTCTTGAATATGGTTGGGCGTCATTTCAGCACACCCTATGGATTGAATATTGTTGGCTAATGAAACCCATTCGCTGCTTGACCTACTACCTTTGGCTTTCTTTTTGCAATTGCCATCACTGGTTTCTTCGGATTTGCCATGAAAATGATGACCCAGGTGTCAAATGTGTGATGGTCGTGGTCACAGTACGAACAGATGAGAGGTTTGCGTTTCTGCTAATCGTCCCTGGCCATTATTGCGTGAGGACTGCACCGCCATGGCTGCGGGTTCAATCAAGGCTTGCACAGTGGCTATGCCTCATTGTTTCTCTTCTTGATACAAGAGGAAATAGATCTTATGGATGGATGGAAGGGTTACGTTAGAAGAATATGACCAATAATCGCTCCTTACGACTCATCAAGGCTTATAAGAATCTGCAACACCTTTGTAGTTTCGCTTGTTCACCGTGGGAATTGGCAGCACCACAAGAACATGCTTCCACCGTCTGACATACCTCTATCTCATCCTATAAACTCCTCAGTTTGGTGAAGTAAACATTGATTGGTTGTTGGTTTCAAGTGGTGCGTGAACTTTCATGTTGAATGAGATGTTTTGCTGCGAAAACCTCTCTTTTGAAATCTTCCCAAACATCTGCTGCAATCCTCAAATACACAACACTTGACGTTATGTTGGATGCGAGGACGTTGACAATCCACGTAAGTACCATGTCGTTACACCTTTGCCAAAGAGCAAGTTCAATGGTCTTCTTCGCATTTGGCTTTTCAATAGTACCATCTATGAGCACTAACTTGTTTTTCGAACTGAGCATAATCGTCATGGAGCAACACCAAATGCCATAGTTATCACCGGTAGAGGCTTAGAAGCAAGCATCGTTCAGGTATAATTGGAATGATGGCGAAAAATTGGCCAAAGGAATCCTTGGAATCACTCTTAGCATCTGAAACTGTCTCCCACGTTTGAAAAGGAATCATCCAACTTCTAGGAGGAAGAAGGAGTAGAAAAAAAAATGTAAAGAATCAAGAGCCCAGGTAGAGGTGGAAAATTTTACCATATTAATTACAGTACCATATCAATTTTATGCTAAAATTTTGTACCAATTGGTAATGGTATGGTAATTGTACCGTTTTGGGCTAAAAGCTTCATTGAGTGGGATTTATAAAATAAAATAAAAAAATAAAAAAAAATAAAAAGATTTGAGCTTGGACTAAGTTTATTTTAATGAAAAACCATGTTATAATTTTATTTAATGAAAAAGACTTAAATTTTAATGAAAAACTCTTAAATTTTAATAAAAAAAGACAAAAAAAAAACTTATATTTTAATGAAAAATATATAATTTTAATATTTAAAAAAAAAACTAACGCACGGACCTGCGCGTCCTCACACAAACTGTTTAAAAAACATACTACACTGTTTATGAACTCACTATACTGCTTATGAAACTTACTATACTGTTTATGAAACTTTTTACTCTGTTTATGAAACTTAACGGTACTGCACTGTTTATAAAACTTAACGGTACAACACTGTTTATGAAACTTAACAGTAGATGCTCGTCCCAGATTTTCAAATTCTTTCACTAGAATGCAATAAAAAGATATAAAAATAAAAAATAGAATAAAAATAAAAAAAAAACATGATTGATATCAACGTCCACGCCGTTAAAGTCATGCATGGCTAATAGCTCAATACCATTACTAGAAAATGGGTGATGAGTCCAACGATGTTGTCAATAATGTTGCCCCACCCTACCACCAACCATCCCAACCCACACCTGACTGACTCCTTCCTAACCATACTGCCCCATATGTGGTTCTGAATCAAAAGGAACCCACTTCAATTTGAAATTTTAATTTGAGAGGAATAAAATATAATTGGATTATGTCAAAGGGTTATGCAACTGAAGGATTGGTTGGTGTTCTTTGCACGCGCCTTTAGTTAGGTTGGTTTTGTTTTTTTTTTTTTTCTTAATTTCTCTTGTCATTATCATTAAATAAAGTTATATGATGATTTTTTATTAAAACTCAAAGTTTTGAAACGCTATTCATTAGTTTTTCTTTAAAAGAATGACATTGCCATTACTATAACATGCCAACCAAAAATTTTTGCATATCGAAATTTGATATACCCAAATTTTAGCATGGTAATAGTAATGAATTTTGTCATATCAAAAGTTTGTTATGGTAATTAGTATGAGAGTTTTAGTACCGTATCAAACCCACATCTATGCCAAGGGGGAGCTTTGATACCATCTTAAATGTAGTTTCGGAAGTTTCGAAATTTACTTCAATTGCATTAATTTTGATTGTACTAGAATACAGGTGTATATAATTACAAAAATCCCTACTGCATAGCTAATTGGTAATTTGGTACAAAGTAAGTAATAATCCCATGATGCTCTCCCTTATTGACGTTGATTGAAGGCTGACGAGGGAAAGTATCATAAGGAGATCATTTGAATTTCTCAATAAGTTTCCATCCTCTCTCTCACGTATATACAGACAAGACATAAATATAGCAGCTATAAGAGATAAAGAGAAGATAGAAGAGTTTCTAATCCCATTATCATTTCTTATAAACCCCTCTCTCTCTCTCTCTCTCTCTCTCTCTCTCTCTCTATACAAAAGACTCATGGGTTTCTGGGTTCATAGTAGTTTTTGCGCTAGGAGTGTAGCTGTTCTCCTCCTCCTTGTTGTTTGTGATTACCAAGCGGTAGTATTAGCAAATGGTGCAAGAAGTGATGAATCAATATCATCGTCATCGTCGTGTGATTTCTTCAAAGGGAGATGGGTTTTGGACCAGTCCTACCCCCTCTACAATACTTCCTCATGTCCCTTCATTGAGCACGAGTTTACCTGCCAAAAGAATGGCCGTCCCGATCAGATATACACGAAATACAGATGGCAACCACATGACTGTGATTTAGCAAGGTGCACACCTCTCTCTCTCTCTCTCTCTCTCTCTCTCTCTCTTGATTTCTCTTGTTCTACTTATTATAATGCTTTCTGTTGCTGCAATATTATTGCTTATTGTTTTCCTAGTTGTTGGCTTGTTGGCTTGCTGCAATATTATTGATATTAAGTTCAAAATTTATGTGACTAAAAATAAAAATTCATGAAATTTATAAATTCTTCTGTTTATTTTGGAGACATGAATTACAATGTTTACATTTGAAATCCCACATTCCAAATTAATTCTAAGAAAATTACTTGTTTTGGTAATTTTTTCGAAATATGAAAAGTAAATTTAGATCTAGTTGTGTGTGTCCCTATATTCCAAATTAATTCTAAGAAAATTACTTGTTTTGGTAATTTTTTCGAAATATGAAAAGTAAATTTAGATCTAGTTGTGTGTGTCCCTATTTTACATTTGAAACAAATGAACTTAATTTATATACTTCCTGGCGGGAAACATCCTGTGAACAGAGTATATCAATGTTTTGTTTAAAACAGAAATTGTGGCAGAGGGACCGTGGCCCCTGTGAATACATAAAGCGACTCTCCCCCAATGATTTTCCTAAGAAATATAAATGTTTGGCTGCATGGAAATGTCGGTGGTCGCAGCCTTTCATTGGTGACAGTTGCACCGTTTGGTTTGTGTGAGCTGTGATTGTCTTGGCATGGGATGGCACGGATGGTGATATAATTATTAGTTTATTTCTTTCTACTTTTATAGTCTACCCACCCACTCATATCATATGGCCTCTACTCATGTGACAATTAATCAAATTATTTATTAAAGACGTGTTAGAGCTCACGGGATTCGGTGGTGCCATATTGTTGTCATGTCAGTTATTCGTGTTTGATATAAAATAAAATTATCATATGATTAGGTTCATAGAAAGAGCTAGGATGATTTTAGGATAAATTATATAAAATTACTTTAATTATAAGTCGAATAATATTATTATATCTTATTTTTTTAAAATGATAATGTTATACCTTATCTTACGAATTTATTTCAATGTTAGACATCCGTCAATTTTTCGGTTAATTTCTCTGTTAAATGCTGAAGTGACTAGAGATGAGGCTCACTTACTAATCCAACTGAATTAAAAAACAATTAAATATATTTTTAATAATTAAAAATTAAAAATTAAAAAACTAAACAAATAAAAATTGGCACAGAGATGCGAGTCTTCCCTTTCCTCCACCTGCACCAACCATTTTTCTTCTCCTCTTCGACAGCCACCAAATCCTTTCCCACCCGTCCCCCCAACCTTTCCCCACCACCCCCCCTCTCTCTCTCTCTCTCCTTTCTCTCCCCTCTCTCTGGACAACCTGCAATCTGCAATTTAAAACTTTAAAATTTAAAATTCAAAAAACTAAAACACCATTCCACTGTCATCAGCCCACTTAGACACCATTCCACCGTCATCAGCAGGTTCATCTATACCATCCTCAAAGATATAGTACATATTGATGCACTACGTTCATGCCGCCGACGTCGAGCGACTCAAGCTGGTCGAATCCGGAGGTGGCCGGACCAATGGTGCATACGAGCTTGGTGCGCCTGGTGGAGAGAAATTCGTTCTCCCGGAGCTCAGCTTCGGTGACGGCGTCGACCTCGATGGAGCTGGAAAGAGCATGGTCGGCTTGCGAAGAAGAGGATTGGAGCCCTGAGGAGGATGTGCCGTTGTCGGTGACGAGAACTGAAGGCTCGCAATTGGGGAAGGAAGCTATGATGGAGAGCTTTGGGAAGACAGGGGAAGCGGTTATGGTGGTGGTGGTGACCGGCAACCGACGATTGGACTTTGCATCTCGCAGTGCGTGGTCCTTGGATTTGGGAGGACGGGTGGGGAAGGGTTTGGTGGCTGTCGAAGAGAAGAAGAAAAAGGGTTGGTGCGGGTGGAGGAAAGGGAAGGCCCGCATAGGTATTTTTTATTTGTTTAGTTTTTTAATTTTTTAATTTTTAATATTTAATTATTAAAAATACATTTAATTATTTTTTAATGCAGTTGAATTAGTGAGTAGGCTCCGTTTCTAGCCACGTTAGAATTTAATAGAAAAACTGATGATATTGGAACAAATTCGTAAGATGAGATATGACATTGTCATTTTTAAAAGATAAGTTAGGATAGTGTCGTTTGACCTATAATTGAGATAATTTTGTGTAATTTACCTATGATTTTACTACAACTTATTGCTTTGGACCTAAATGTGTGTGAGAGAGAGAGAGAGAGAGAGAGAAGGGGGAGGGAGATCTGATAGAAAGAAAATGGGTGGAGAGCGGGAGTTCACTAAACTCTTGGTGAAGAACTCATGATCAGCGGGAGTATCATTTTCAAACTCATGATTAGCGAAAGTCGAATTTAAAATCTCTTATTTATAAATGAAGAAAATTACAATTAGACTTTATAAAAGATTAAAGTAGTGATTTATTAAGAATGTTGATAATAACTACAAAACAATTTGGATTAATTTAAACATTACTGTACCCTCAACAAAAAATTTTAGGGCATTTCCATGTAAACAGAAATCCTAACTCTTAATTCCGTGTTAGTACATTTGGAATAAATAAATTTAAACATTTCATCACCTACCATGCTCGAAAGAAAACAATGTTAAATCTACATGCGTTGAACCTGCAGCCTTCTGCCAGTTTACTGTCATTGAACTGTATGCCTATATGGATTGTGGAGTTGTAAGTTGTCGCGGAGGTCCCTCTCGATTCATGATGAACAATGATTATGTTTAACTTCACTTCCTTTTAACACCCGCGTACACAAGTGGCACCACCACCATATTGATAATTGTTGAATGCATAAGCATATTGTGTACTTAAAATGTCAATCGACACTAGACATAATTTTATGCTGTAGTGATATAACATAACTATTTGATAGGATGAAAACATTATTGATCTAGCATTTACATGTCTTACCTGAATAATAGTTTATCCTATGGGGACCTAGCTTAATGTTTTGTGACTACCTTGTTTTCAGATTTGATGCGCTTGACTTCTTCGAAAGATTTAGAGGAAAGAGCATCATGTTCGTTGGAGATTCATTGAGCCGAAATCAATGGCAATCCTTGACATGCATGCTTCATTCAGCTGTACCAACTGCTAAGTATAATGTGATAAGAGTAAACGATGTATCTATCTTCGAATTCATGGTACGTCAAGTCTCCATTTTGTTTTGGCCATTGCTTTTTATTTGTATGAGAATAATTCTACTATCAAAGAATCTGATAAGTTGTTGTTAGGATATATATGAATTGACAAAACCATTCAATGGTACATTTTTATTTGTATATGTAGTCAAAACTGACAATTTAATAACGTAATACGCTTAAATTTTTAGCAGAAGATGATAATAGTTGTTTAGTTGATAACCAACTTAATTTAAGTGAAGTCAAATCACACATAAATTTGGTAAGGTGAGTGCAAAGCATCAATCCTAACACTTTAGGGTGTAGTCAACTTGGATTTTAGAGTATTTTAATAAACTTTTTTAAGTGACAAATTTTAAAAATTTTTAATAGATTCTACAATCTTATATGGATTTTGACTGATTTATATGGATTTCACTTATAGATTTATATGGATTTGTATGGATTTTTTCATGAATTTCTTAGGACTTTTATCATGCCAATCAACATAGAGCCTACATATGAATTGATCTCCAATTTCTTCTCAACTACAAAACACACTTCACACAAGTACCCAAACTCAAATCCCCCATGTCCCCGCATGCTCAAGAACTGTTGCCAAAGTCGTTTCATTAGGCTAAAATCCATCACCTCTCATTTCCCGGAACAACCCCACCGCATCTCCAGCACACCCCATCTTGCAATACACAGAAGTCATGGAATTCGACGAAACCAAATCCCTCTTAATAATGTCATCAAACACTTTCCGTGCAAAAACCTACTCATCACACCTTGCATACATAGTAATCAAAGAGTGACTCACCTGTCCATCCTTATTCAATGGCATCCATGATTTGTATTGGATTCGAGCAACAACAAACACTCAAAGCTTTAATCGCAACCTTACCAGCAACGACATTAGATTGTTCATCCAATAAAAGCAAAGAACGAAAATCAAACCCATTTTGGTAGTGGGTGGATGGGATTGTTCATCCAATATGGCAGTGGGTGGATCACAGGGGGGATGAGGGGTGGTGAAAGCAAGTTAGAGAATTGCAGATTTGGATGTTATGTGTAGATGGTGAGCTGCTCACTGGGTTCTTAGGTAGGGCCAAAAATGGGGAAGACTATTCCTCTTCTACATATAGAATTTTTCGTTCTTGAACTGAAATCCTAGGGGTGAATGTTGGATTGTTTATGACATTTATTATTTATACTATCAAATCCATCAAAATCCTTCACCCATTAAAATCCTAGCAAATCCTTGATATTTTCACTACACCTAGACTTTTGAGGACTTTTTAAAATCCTAATCAACTACTCATGAATTTGGATGTATTCTTTTAAATCCTTTAAAATCCTAATTTGACTACACCATAATTTCAAAATCTTTTAAAATCATCTTTTAAAATCTCATTGACTACTCTCGAATTTTAAAATCTATTAAAATATTATCAAATCCTAATTTGACTACAATCCCTCTTAGACTTTTTATCAGTTTTATTTCCACCAACTACTTCACGTGAAATTAATTAATTTGGTCTCGTGTGAAATTAATTTGACCTTTCAATTCCCTTGGACAACTACTTGACATGCACTTTTGTCATGATCCTACCAAACACGAAGCACGTGATTCAGCCCCAATTTTCCTTTGGGTAAATGACATGGTGAAATTTGTAATCAATACATGCAGGATTATGAAGTTAAGGTGATGCTAGACCGCAATGTATATCTAGTAGATATTGTAAGAGAAAAGATTGGGAGGGTCTTGAAGCTTGATTCAATTGTGGGAGGCAAGTTATGGAAGGATATTGATATGCTCATCTTCAACACTTGGCATTGGTGGAATCGTAGAGGACCCTCCCAACCGTAAAGTCTATAACTATTATTTACTATAATATTTAATCATCTTTTGATTAATTTTAACTGTATTTAAAAGGTAAAACCAACTTAACTACTATAATTTTGCAGATGGGATTATGTTGAAGTAGAAGGTCAGATGAGCAAAGACATTGACCGGATGCTTGCTTTTCAGAAGGCACTCGTGACTTGGGCTGGATGGGTGGATTTAAACATTGATCCAGCGAAGTCTAGAGTTTTCTTCCAAGGAATTTCTCCCTCTCATTACAAGTGAGTTCCTTACCTAATATTACTAATCTAAGCTAATCATCATTGTAGCACTCCAAAAAAGTTATCATATACTCGCAACACTCTTTCTACTGCAATTTCATTATATTTTCATTAACGAGGAGTGTACCTAGAATGATTAGTTTGAAGTGTCAAATAACAGCTTTATGAATTGAATTTAATTTTTGGGTGAAATATAACACAATAGTTTTAACTTTTTTAATTAGTTGATATCACTGTTATAATTTTCGAATAATTTCTTTTGAAAACTCGTTTATGAAGTTTGTTCCCAAGACATCAATCAAATTAGTAGTCTCTTATTTTCTTTTCTTAATTTTAATTGTAGTGGCAGTGAATGGCATGAACCAAGTGCGAGAAGTTGTGTAGGGCAGAAGGAGCCTTTGCTTGAGTCGATCTATCCAGGAGCTTTACCACCAGCTCTGGGTGTGCTGAAGAATGTGTTAAGCACAATAAAAAAGCCCGTGACATTGCTAGATATAACAAACCTCTCACTCCTGCGCAAGGATGGACATCCTTCAATTTATGGGTTGGCAGGCCGCACAGGAATGGATTGTAGTCATTGGTGTCTTTGTGGAGTCCCAGATTCTTGGAATGAGATTCTCTACAATTTTATTCTTTAAAACATTCAATATTGAAAACCATCGAAAGGATGGAGATTGGACAAGTTCTTGGAAAGAAATGATATGATTTTAAATGATATTCAAATTTTTACGGATTAGGATTCTCTTCATTTTCTTTTCATTTCCTTCCATCATCTTCTCTCACATTCTCTTATTTTGCCTTTATTTTGTTATAAAAAATTAATATAAGATGTTGACGTGACTTAACCGTAACCGTTCAAATAAGAGGGGAGGGAAGGGGAGGGAAAAAAAGAGGGGAGAGAATTCTATTCCAATTTTTACAACTCTTTGTTTTTAGTGTATATCAAATTAAGAGTTTTTGTGATAGTTTTCAAGTTAGAATGAGTAATGATATTCATACCATATTTCTATACCATTTTAGGTGGCATTTGATGTGAACAACCACATCATTTGAAAAATTTACAAAACCCAAGGAAGAAAAGAGAAAGACTTTACCACAATTATCATTTAATTAACTAATTTTTCTTACTTATTTGTTTAGTAAATAATGAACTAAATTTAAAAATATGATTAATTTAAATAATGTGGCTGTTCACACCAAATACCACATAAGATTGTATGAAAATATGATACAAAAACATAATATGAATAGCATTACTCATTGCGATGTGGAAAATCATGCTTGAGCTTAAATTATTGTGAACTAGTTTTGTCTGCACCTTGAAAGTACACCTGTTTGTCATATATATATTTGCTGCCGACAATCATTGCAACTATTTACTTCATTTTTTTTATTTGGTACCAGATCATTTCCCTTTACATTGTTGGAAGCTGGAAAAAGAACATTGTTTTCTACAAAAAGACATGGTTTTCTTTAGAAGGATCTGCCAGTATATAAAAATTTGTTGGAAAATAATTCACGTCAAGAAAACGTCCAAACTAACAAAAGCTATATCAAAAGAAATGGACAAGAAAGAAAAATGGGTATTTGTATCCAAGTAAACCCCACACGAAAAGAAAAAAAAAACACCCCACCCAACAAACTCAAATCGATGACATCCATACAGAAAGCACAGTAGCTAGCGTTTGTTTGCATCTTTCACTCTATCTGAAATCGAATTCCCAATCCATTTGCCACCACACACAATCTATACACACACACACACACACACACACACACATAACACATACATCTTTATTTCTATCTCTGTCAACCATGGGAAATATGTTGCAGGGCTATGGCTTTTTTTCTTATGCTCTACTCATTTTTCTATGCCTCCATTTGGAAGGCCAATATTATTCATATGCAAAAGGATGTGATTTTTTTCAAGGGAGTTGGGTTTATGATGTTAGCTATCCACTCTATGACACATCGGGCTGCCCTTTCGTTGAGGAAGAGTTTGATTGCCAGAAAAATGGACGGCCAGACGATCAGTATCTCAAATATAGATGGAAGCCTGACGCATGTGCACTCCCAAGGTAACGATTTCCATGTTTTATATATGTAGAGCTCTACTGATACAGTTGAAGATTGACGTGACATGAATTTCGTTAATCCTACATATATATGTACATACGAGCTTTGTAAGTTGTTAGATTGTTTAGAGAGTAACGTTCTCTTGCCAGCATGGGTGGAGCCACATACAAGCTTGAAGTGGTTGTGCCCCAACCCTCACAACCAGAATAGGCTAGCTCTGCGCTTAGTAGTAATCAGGCGTTCAATTAAAATTTTCTTTAATCAAAAGTTCAGGTTAACAGCCTTATTAGACACGATTAGCCCCATAACTTGTGTTGATAAAAGGAACCAATGTGTTGATAAATCAGTTGACAATATAAAAAGTAACTCGACCTCTTAATTATAAGTCCTTGTAAGGTTTCTTTTTTCATCGATGCGGAACTCTTTTACTTTCACATCTTAACATGCCCTCCCACGCGTGGCAAATTTTTAAGCCAAATACATGGACAACGTGACTTCGATGACATGGAGCATGTGTAGTCATTGAACTTCGCACGTGGATTAACTTGCTTTGATACAATAAAAAAAATTAAAATTCTACCATAAAACTAATTTGCAATATTAGAAAGTAACTAAACCTCTTATATATAAACCCTTCCAAATTTTCTCCGTTAACTATGTATACTCAGCGCATGTTAGAATACTGCTTGAAAAGATAACATTTGCTTACATGTATATGTATTCAGCAAGGTGGAGACAAGTGGATTCATAAGTAAAGCTTATATTTATGTGCATGTAGCTACGTGCTCATTGCATAAAGCAATAAAGTGTTTTTCCAAGATTTAAGTCCTTGCCGCAAGAACTGGGGCAAGGTTGTAAAATGTCTTCACGTATGATTTGGAACTAATTTTGTGTGTGATAATTCCGTGTCTTCTATATTGATTAACATATGTCTATAAAATTAACTCTTTTTACTCTTGTTGTCATAAAATTAAGACATGTTCATCAATAATAGAGGTGGCCACACACAAAATAAGCGTAGAAGATTTGAACTCTCCTAAATCAAATCATACAAAATCATTGACCTTGACAATATCATGGGTTATTTGACTTTATCATCGCATGATAGAACAGGAGGGGTTGTGATCATAACTAGGCTCCAGCCTTAATTACAATGGCCAATCTTTGACATACTTCACAGTTATGAACACCCACATATACACTATGCGACACAAATACAAAATTTACAAATGTAAGGCACCGACACTTGCACCTTTTAATTCCCTTTTAAATAAGCATATGTAATTACTTGATAGAATTCGGATATATCACATATTTCTCATTTTTCAACGTATATACATGGTACAGATTCAATGGGGAGGACATGCTGAGGAGGTTAAAGGGGAAAAAAATAATATTCGTAGGTGACTCTCTAAGCCTCAATCAATGGCAATCGCTAACATGTATGTTGTATGCTGCTGTGCCCCAAACACATTATACTATAACAAGGAAAGAAGCCATCTCCACGTTTTCGTTGCCTGTGAGTTTTTCAGATGCATATCTATCTAGTTACAAAACACTTTCTACCAACGATATATATGATTAGATATTAGGTTCCTAAACGAAGTGTATATATGTAGCCTTTTGATCACTAACTAGTATACGTGGACAAGTACTATTGAACATTAATCTTAAAAGGGAATTGTTTTGTGCATTCAAAATAGTTATCATGCACTTTTCTTTAAAGAAAAAAATTGTGAGAATGTGAAAGTAAAAGACTCCCACTTCGGTAAGGGGAGAAACTTTGTAAGGGATTTAAGAAGTTCAACTACTTCCCATATTGCCAATTGGTTTTATGGTAGAACCCCAACTTTCTTCATGGTATCAGAGCAGGCTGGTCCAAGTATGAAGCCCAACGGGCGCATGTGCTCCACATTACCTAATACGTATTGTCCACATGTTTGGCTTGCAAGGGTTTATAAAAGGTTGGGTTACTCCCCATATTGTCAATTGGTTTTATGGTGGAATTTCAACTTTCTTCATCATATCAGTGCAGGTCAGCTCACATGTGAAGCTCAATGGCCACACATGCTCCACATCACCCAATTCGTGTTATCCATTTGTTTGGCTTGAAAAATCGTCACACATGCGTGGGTGTGAGAATGTCAAGAAAAAAGAGTCTGGCATCATTTTAAAGGAGAAACCTTGCAAGGGGCTTATAAGAGGGCTACTTCCTATACTGTCAAATGGTTTTCGGTGAAACCCCAACTTTTTTCATGGTATCAGAGTAGGTTGGCCTACATGTGAAGCCCAATGGCTACACATGCTCCCCTGTCACCAATTCTTGTTGTCCACATATTTGGCTTGAAAATTCGCACATCTGAGTGGGCGTGTGAGAATGTGAAGGTAAAAGAGTCATACATTGATGAAAGGAAAAGTCTTTCAATGGCTTATAAGAAATTTGACTACTTTTCCCATATTAACAATTGATTTTATGATGAAACTTTTTTATTTAAAAAAAATAAAAAATAAATAATAAGATTACCAAATGATTATTTTGGAGTGATCACAAAATTAACCCCCTGGATTTTGCAGGATTATGATGTTTCGGTTACTTTATCTCGCAATGCATTTTTGGTGGACCTAGTGAATACAGTAGTAGGCAGGGTTCTAAAGCTGGACTCCATTGAGAACGGGGACGCATGGAGAGGATATGATATGCTTATCTTTAATACTTGGCACTGGTGGCTGCATAAAGGAAACCAACAACCGTGAGATATATGCTACATATAGAAACCTCAAAATACAATAATTGAGCATTGCACCAAAATTATACAATTTAAACATAATTTGTCAGATCTCTATAATTAAGTACTGTATACTACTTTAACAAGTTAATACTTTGAACAAGTTATAATATATTTTGGAAATTAAAAACCTGAATTTGCATGCACTGATTATACATTTTGGTATTACGAGTGTCAGATGGGACTACATTGAAGCAGGAGGTGAGATACTCAAGGATATGGATCGTTTAGTTGCTTTTAGGGAGGGATTAACTACTTGGTCCAAGTGGGTGGACTATAATGTTGATTTTAGCAACACCAAAGTTTTCTTTCAAGGGATTTCTCCGACCCACTACAAGTATGTGCTCGCTGCCTCTTTTAAATCTTCTAGTAAGAAAATAATTAAAATATCACATCCAATAATGTTCGACCTAATAATTTTATCTACTAAATAACGTGCCACAGTAAAATAGATGAATTTAATTTATACGAAGTCTCTCATATACTCAGTCAATTTATTTAGCTTTTTTTTTTTTTTTTTTTTTTTTTTAAACAAACGATATTATCTACCTTAGGGGTGGAGAAGTGAACTAAGCTTCACACTAAGCTAGTCATAATAATGTGGTTCAAATTCTCTTTTGACGATAATTGAACTTAAGACATCTCACTTACAAGTAAAGAGGAATATCATTAGACCGTAGTACTAAGTAGCCATTTATTTTAGTTTTTCCCTTTTATTTTTATTATATTTTGGTTTAATTTCACCCTGAAAAGGGTAACAATTAAATTAATTAATTAGTAATACTAATGGTGGAACAGTGGAAAAGAGTGGAATGGGTCAGACTCAGCAACTTGCAATGGACAAACTCAACCAGTAAGAGGCTCAATATATCCGGGAGGTTCACCACCGGCAGCAACTGTGGTAAACCAAGTGTTGACTGCCATGACATCCGCAGTAATCTTGCTTGACATAACGTTGCTATCGCAGTTGAGAAAAGATGGACACCCATCTACATATGGCATCGATGGAAAGAAAGGAAATGATTGTAGTCACTGGTGCCTTGCTGGTGTGCCTGATACCTGGAACGAACTATTCTACGCAACTCTTGTGGCTACTGATCACTAAAGGAGGAAATATTCTACGCAACTCTTGTGGCTACTACTGAGCACGGAAGGCGGAGATACGCACACATTAAACTAAATTGTTTTAATTTGTTTTGATGATGACCATTATTGTTAATAGTAGCCATTTAAAACCTTACGATAATCGCGTCTGAATGCAGATTCTTCTGCATGAGACTCGTTCTATTTGGTTATGAGATTTCTTTTCCAAGAGGGGTTATGGGATCTTGCGTCTGGTTTGCCCTGGGGGCTTGTATCTTATAAATAAAAAAACCATTTAAACACAACTTACACCATATTGGAGATCAAAAAGTACCAAAGAGTGAGCCCTTGCATTATCTTGGATCTATCTTGGAAAAGAACGGAGAATTGGATGAATATCTCAACCATAGAATACAAAAATGGATGAATAAAGTGGACAAGTACATCAAATGTGTTCTGCAATTGACATATGCCACTAAAGCTCAAGAAATATTTTATAGACAGCAACAAAGCCAGCAATGCTTTATGTTGGACGATCAAGCATCAACACATGCAAAAAATGAGCGTAGGGGAGACGAGAATGCTTCTTTGGATGTGTTGGCACACGAGAAAAGACATGATCAGGAACGAGGATATCCGAGGTAAAACATAAGTGGCTGCAATTGAAGATAAGATGATAATAAATCAGTTAAGGTGGTTTGGACATGTAAACTGAAGACCTATGGATACTCCGGTTAGAAGATTCTATTATGAGACAAAGGCTCAATGCAAAAAGGGTAAGAAAGATCTATAAAGATTTGGAAAGAGACTCTAAGAAAAGACATGAAGTACTTGGAGCTAAGAGAAAACTTGACGTAAAATCAAGCGAACTGGCATGTGGTTTATTATGGACTAGGCCAAATAAGTAATGTACCTATGTGATTCGCCGCAATACATGCGTAATTTAATTATGGAGTTGAAACGTAAATAATGTGATGTTGTATGTGTTCAATTCATTTTATATTTTTGGATTGTCATTTAAATAAGGCTTGCATGCCTTCTCTCCTCTAAATTCTTAATTAAATGGGCTATACATAAAAATTATTTTGTAGCGAATCATTTATTAAGAATGATGCAGTCAAACTCGGATTTGAGAGGATTTTAAAAGACTTTAAAATTCTAGTGTAGTCAATTAAAAGATTTTAAGGGATTTTAGAATCCATCCAAATCTAAGGATTTCAAATCCTTCCACCACAAGTATATATAACCAAAACTAAAAAGAATCAAACCTCACCCCCTAGGATTTCAAATCCTTCCACCACAATCCATTCAAATTCTTTAAAATCCATAGGAATTTTGTAAGAGTCTTTAATCTTCTTAAATCCTATCAAATCTATCTCTTTTAAAATCCTTTAAAATCTTAGTTTGACTACACCCCCTGTTCTTCGAGAAAGGATTTTGTTTCTAGAAGAAAGGCCAAAGAAAGAGAAGAGAGAGAGCTATGGGCATCCCCAAGGGGAAGCTTATGTAAAAGCGACTGAAACTCTCAGTTTTATAAGGTTAAAGAGGCTGTTACAGATTGCCAATACATTCCTATAATTGGGCATTTAATTCTCACATTTTTTTCTGTTTTCGGTCTTATAAAGAACCATAAATTATGTACTTTCTAGATATTAATATCCTTACCAGCCAAATTTTGTTTTGACAAAATGAAAAAGCTAGACTTTGTTTGATGCTTTATATGAATATGTTATTAAAACCCTATAAAACTTAGAGGAAAAATCTTCCAAAATTCTATATATATGGCATCCATTTCCTTTCTTCCCTTCAGTTTTGAAAAGTGGCGGATTTAGAAAATATTATTAGGGAGGTCAGTAACAATAGCACTCCCAGCGTGCAAATTTTTTTTTTTTTAATCGAAATAGTCTGCAAATCGTTACTTTATCGAGTTTTGATAGGCCTGAAGTTATTTGCAAAAACATATTGCACACCTGTTAAACCCTCATTTGCGTGGGTAACTAATATGTTCCAAGGCTGTTCCCATATAATGTTTAACAAAGGAACACACTTATCTTGAACACACTAACAAATTGATTGATCTCATTGCATCTCATTAATATGTTTGTCCAAGAATGATGATTCTTTGTTCATTTTATGAGATTACCATTTCATTTACTTTGCATTTTTGGATAGTCTTTTACTTCGTTCTTTTTTTTTTTTTTTTTTTCTACAATTGTAATAACAACCAACAAACAAGCAAAAGTTAAATAATATTAGGCCTAGACAGTAACGGGGCAACACTTCTCTAACACATTTTATCAAGTAGCTGGAAGGCATATATGAAGGGCAACTCCAACTTTCAAAGACTCAACACCCAAGTCATCTATAGAGATTCACCGGAGGTCGAAGGTCAGCTGACCCCCCTTGACATTAAGTCGGTTCGCCCCTAGTTTTGAAATACATTAATAAATTTCTAGAATGGCTTCTGGTTTAGTTTCATGATATCATTTGTTTCTCTTCTATCTCAGCTGGCTACGTAATGTGCATGGTAATGGTGATGGAGACGATGATAAATAACTAAAGTAATAAAATGGATGCGGTTATTTTGAAGGAAGTTGGATAATTGATAATTCATATTCACTTTACGATTCATCAAAATGTCCATTATTCATTAGTTGAGAATTCGAATGCCTGAAGAATGGTAGACCTCATAAAGAATACCTCACATGTAGAGTGAAACCCAGTGACTATGACCTTCCAAGGTAGACAACTTGTTTTTTTATACAACAATTTGTTCTCCTTCCAAGGTAAACAACTTGTTTTCTTATTTGTCGATACGTATAAATTACCAACAAGATAAAATCGTGGTGTGCCACCTGACAGTGTCTTTCCATAAGGAAAGGTGAAGTATCCAATTGCTAATTATGTATCAAGTGAGCACTATTCAACAGATTGGGCTGGTAATGCTATTAACAGAAGTTCTATTTTTCGTTTGTTTGGGGGAACTTGGTTATGTGGCGTAGTAAAAAACAGAAAGCAATGTTAAAGTCTTTTGTTGAGGCCGACTATAGGGGTATGGCAGAAGGAAATATGTGAACTCCTTTGTATACGTAAACTTTTAAGATGTCTTGGCTTCGAACCAAAGGAAACTATGAAATTATGTTGTGCCAATAAGTCTGCAAGGGAAATAGAGAATAATCTGGTACAACATGATAGAACAAAGCATGTGGAGGTTGATAGACACTTTGATAAAGAGAATCTTGAAAGGAAGATTGTGTCTATACTGTCTGTGAATTATGGGAGCAACTAGTTGATGTTCTTGCTCATAGAGTATCAAGTAAAGCTTTACAATGACTCACTTATCAAGTTGGGTATGTATGATATCAATGCACCAACTTGATGCAGTGTGTTGACTTTATTGTAGATATTTTATCAGTCCTATATTTGGTAGGATTAGAATTTGTAATTGGTTGTTATCTTTAGGATTTAGTTTTCTTATCTTTTGTAATTACTTTCTTTGTAAAATAAGGCATGCGTGCCTATACATTGTAAATTCTAATAATGAATAAAGTAACACAGTATTCAACGTATTTCATTCTTTGATAAGCCCCTTATTTATAGGCTTATGATAATGGGGTTATCCCATACGTTACAAATGGTTGTATAATAATAGCACTTAAGAAATTAGTGGTCCATCCACCAGCATAAGAAGCTACGAGTCCATCCACCCACATTTACAACAAATTCTGTAATTTCTATATATAAATTCCTTACCAGCCTGATTTTGTTTTGACGAAAAAGAAAAAGCTAGATTCTAATTGATGCTTTTTAAGAATATGTTATTAAAACACTGTAAAGTTGAGGAAAATCTTCCAAAACCCTATATATATATATATATATGGTGTCCATTTCCTTTCTTCCCTCCAGTTTTCAGTCACATTAATTTCTAGAATGGCTTTGTGGTTTAGTTTCATGATATCCTCTGTTTCTCTTCTATCTCAGCTAGTTATTATATTGCAACCTTGTAAAGTGCATGGTAATGGTGATGCAGGCGAAGATAAACAACTAAAGCAGTCAAATGGATGTGATTATTTTCAAGGAAGTCGGATAATTGATAATTCATATCCACTTTACGATTCATCAAAGTGTCCATTATTCATCGATCGAGAATTCGATTGCCTGAAGAATGGTAGACCAGATAAAGAATACCTCAAATATAGATGGAAACCGGCCGGTGACTGTGACCTTCCAAGGTAAACAACTTGTTTTCTTATCTGCCAATTTTTTCTCCTTCGAGACTAGCTATTTGATAGTCTTCTTCATACATATAAGGCATTTTAGCCAAAGTGGTCCTCAAGATTGTCACGACTTCTCATTTTGGTCCTTAAGATTTAAAATCGATAGAAGTGGTCCCTGAGATGGTCCACCTTCAATCATTTTGGTCATTCTGTGAAAAATCTCTGTTCAATTGAAGAAAACACCAGTTACCATCAATTTAATAGTGATTTCTCATAGAAGGACCAAAATGATTGACGGTGAACAATCTCATGGACTACTTCTGCCGATTTTAAAGCTCAGTAATCAAAATGGGAAGCATAACCATTTTGGATAAACAGCCTACATAAAACTATTTGCACTGCATTACTACAGATTACACCTCTCAGAGGTAACCCTTTATTATATATCTAAGCTTCTAGCTGGGGGGTTTTTGAGTAAGTTTATTTGAGGAACATTTTTGTAAGGCTCATGGATATTGTATTTGAAATCATTCTTGCGAAAAACCGCTCAAATTCGAAACTATTTAACCACTCAATTAAATGATTATCATTTTAGTCTCTTTCTTATAACATTGTGTATGTCTATTTTTTTCATTAGAATTAGATGTTTGAATGAAATAAAATTCAAAGCGGACCCAAAGTGTCCTCAAATAAAATTATATAATTTTCAATTAAATATATCTCATTTATGCAATATATGGTGCAGATTCAATGGTGAGGACATGCTGAGGAGGGTAAAGGGGAAGAGGATCTTATTCGTCGGGGACTCTCTAAGCTTCAACCAATGGCAGTCACTTACATGCATGTTGCACACTGCAGTGCCCCAATCAAATTATACTCTAGATGACTCCGCATTTTCTTTGCCTGTGAGTTTTCTGCAGGCATACATGTCTACGATCTCTACTCTCAAAGAACTATGGGCGTTCATGAAGGCCATATCTTATAC